ACTTAACAAAGAAGATTCATTTATTTTATTCAAAACTTTCTAACAATTATTTCAGTTCAATTCCCAATTAACCACAACTCATTTATAACATCTTATCTAATCGTTTAATCGAAATTTCATCTTCTATGATTATCTTTGCAGGGCTATAAGAGTTCATAATCAGATTCATAAGCATTTCAAAAATCAGTAGGAAATCAACAAATTACGCATTCCACCATCATTTGAACCTATCATCAGAGATCTCATTTGTGGACATCAAATCTAGTATAGTAACATTTTATGATATACTGAAGCAAACAATTTTGGTTTGCTGTAATATACTGTAATGCTTGTTGTATGGATTGATAAAATTTAAATTTTTCCAATTTTCGCGAAACCATAATAATATCCTTTTTAGTATTTTTTTTTCTCACAGGAAATAAGTCACGATTGGAAATATATCACCTCTGCTACGGCAATTTTGCTTTAAATTAATGAATAAGTTAATATTCATTTGAATATTCTTCCGAGTAAAAAAATATGTCAAGATTAGGCGAATGAGAGGGAAGGAAAACAAACCGTTTCATTGCAGCAAAATCACAATTATAAAAAGTTGATATAATAATTTGCATGTGAGAAAGCGATATGCAGGCTTTGAACAATGAAATATTATCGATAATATCGATAATGATCGGCGGGCAGCTGAGAATAAAATTTTTTGGTATTTATAAGGAATGAATTGTTGATAAAACGTAAGATTCACTGAATTGTTTTTTTCACTGCTCTTAAAATTTTTAGAAATCTCTTTGAAAAATTGAAATTTTTTCAAGAAGAAAACATAAAAACACCAATTATTATCAAGAAAAAACCTAATAATCCAAATAATTTAACACCCGAACAATCAAGCTAATCAAATTTTTTATTTTAATTTTAGCTATCCGCTTTATCTAATCCTCGGAAAAATTTTATTTTCCGAAAAAAAAAATTTCGAAAAAAAGTAACTTCTTTAAAAAGTAATTTAAAAAAAGTAATTTACCTCCTTGGATACGGGATGAATGCCATATGAATTTATTTAAACAAATGAATAAATAAACGAGATTAAGGATGCCATTTCCTTGATATTGTGATGATATAATGATATTGATAATGATATTGATATACATAATACTAATAATGGATTATAGTATAGAGTAAAGCAATTATAAGAAAACATAAATAATAAAAATAAGATGATAATATGTCGTTTGATCTTTTTATGAATAAATAAATATAAATAAATGAAGCAAATTTGATATAATTTTTAATTAAAAGAACTTTTGTATATGCAATTATATAAACCAACTTAAATTTGAAAAATTAAAGTTAAAGTTTGAAGGTAAAGTTTGAAATATAAATGAAGGTTTCTAAAGGTTTCCGATTGCAAAATAAATTATATAAAAAGTAATAAATTCAAAATAAATATAAAAAATAAGTTTTCAAACTTTAATTTAAATAAATAAATAAATATGATTATGCATTCGACAGAAAACTATTCTTCGAATTTGTCGTCGATTTAAATAGGAATTAAGTAGCTTAATTTATTGTGTTAAAAGTCAGATTCCCTATCTTCAACAGGAATAAATCTTGCACTAAACAATCCTGAATGGAGCTGACAACATCTCCTTTTCTACCTCCTCCAAATGAGACTATTTAGAAAAAATTTCTGACCGTATTTGCAGTTAGCAAAGCGACCATTATCAAAAATGGTTACGCATTTTACTTCTTTGCTTATTGTAATTTATTGAAGACTTTGTAGTTTGATATCTTTTCATTTATATTTGACCATTATATTTGGCCTCATACATGAATAATGGAAAATTATCGTTACTCAAGCCATAAATGCCATTATATGGCCTAAATTGCCATTATGCATAGTGTTTTTTGGCACCAAGTTGGAAAAAAAATTTTTAAGAACCAAGAATTACAAAATATAATAAAAATGATTACAAAAACAAATTACAAAAAAAAGGGAGCTGTTAAGATTTTACCAGAGCTTATTTCTAGAAGCAAAGATATAAGATTTGCTTTTTATAGCTCAAATCGTTTAATGCAAAACCAAATCGGCTTATTTTTTGTTATGTTTTATTTTCAAGCCAAGCGAAAAAATTAGGCAAATTCACAATAAAGTTGAATTTTCATAAAAAATATGTAAAAAATCAATATAATTTTTAATTAATATCTAGTAATTTATTTATTATTAATTTATTAATAAAAGATTTGCAAAATGGATAAAGGGATATAGGAGAGCTCGGTAGCCACCCGAACTGCGGTTTAATGATAGGGTTATTTGTGTCTCGGATTACTTGGAGAGCGAGTTTCAGGCAGCATTTTATTAACAATAGGGTTTCATCTTTAATGACGAGCTTGTAATAATGGTAGTAAGGCATATTGTAGTAAGGCATAATGCTCGACCGCAGTCGGAGCAACTCCATATGGCGCAACTCGGCTGAAAATTAATAGCCTCTGAACTAATGTCAGCGAAATTGCACTTTCCTAGATCTACTCCCTTCTTTTATAGTAATGTTAAATTGTCGTTAACAAATTGAGCGCAGCAAATTGATTCATCGTTCCATTGAATAATTCTCAATGAATCTGAAATGGAATCGCTTTTGCAGGCACCAAAATTTATAGAAGAAAGGTAAAAAAAAGGCAAAATTATTTTACGAAGTGAATTAACATTTTAAAAAAATTCCGTTTGTATGAGAAATATCTCCAGCAAAAAAATTATATATAAAAATGGAAAATAGACGGGCCTGAGTTGTTTGTTTTTGAGAAACTTTAGCTTGCAGTGCGACAAATTAGGTGAAAAATTTTTCTGCATAATTGAGTAGATCACTTCAAATTGTTAATCAGTTGGAGGCCAAGTAATAATTGGATAATTTCTTTTTCTCAAATAGCAGAATGCATATTCGTTTGGCAGGTTCCATTGATAATCAGGATAAATGATATCTCTCATTAGCGAGTTTGGAATGGAAGTGCAACTCGAATTATAATACCATCCTGGCATTTTTAATGGCAAATTGGATGGTTTGGTTTTTAATAGAGCAATATATTATTCGACCATTCTATTAATTTCTTAATTTTAAGATTCCTTAATTTTATAGCTATCATTTTGGACTGAAAATGATACTCCGCATCACATTTTCACATTTTCAACAATGAAAAACCTAATGTCTTCACATTTTCGGCGATAAAAAACTTAACGTTTTTCACCAGTTTTTTACTATTCACCAGTTATAAATTATTCACCAGTTTTTATGATAGAAATCAGAAAATTGTCAAAGTCATATTATCATAAAAAATTGTCATTTGTGCAGCCAAGTTTTTTTTTATCTTTAGAGGGGCAGAATAGCCGAGTTGATAATGGGTCAAATTATTGTGGCAAACGTTTGGGTCATGCACCTCATATATAAATTCTGCCATTTAAAAAAAACTGAGATACTAATAGTCTTCGATCTTCATTTCTCTTGCCAAATGGCTATATAACAAAAAATTACAAAAAATTCTAACTGTACTAACAACTGGCAAAGCTGGCTAATTAGAAATGGCGATGGTTTTATTGCAAAGGTTTACCATTTATTAAAATAGTTGTAAAATAATTTACTCTGGATATAAAATGTAAAATATTGAAAAAATAGCAAGGAAATGGAATAATATAAATAATACTAATAATAAATAATAAATAATAATAATAATATAAATGGAATAATAATAATATAAATAATAATAATATAAATAATATAAATAATACAAATAATATAAATAATACTAATAATACAAATTATAATAATAATAATACAAATAATGCAAATTAATACAAATAATACAAATAGCAATAATACAAATTTCTAGTTGTTTGTCATAACTTTCTGCACTTTTCAATCAAATAACCAGTTAAAATCATTTGAATTTATAATGTTGTAAATACCAAAGAGACAATTACCATTACTTCGCATGGCTCGGAAATAATTTCCGGCAATTTTTAGGTAACTATTTCTGATTAGCCTTTTTCTACGTATTGCCATTAAGAGAGAATATTTTACGGTCACTTGTGAATAGAGATGGATTTAATAATATTTGAAATTTTAACGATGTTTCTTATAAACGAAATGGCTGAAACAGAAGTCCCGTTGGATTTCCAGCAATGCCGTATTTAATTTTTATCCTACCAGCTCGCCTATAACACATTTAGAATTTAAACAAGCACAAATCAGTCAGTAGAGGTAATATTTGCAGTAATTCGCAAATGATTCTGATGAAATTGTTCTATTTTTCTGTGGATAATAAATCTCGCTTTCTTTCAATACCGAGAATCGAATAGTTTTACTGGGAATTATTTTTTTAGGCAAATTATTCCTCCAATTTGTACACAAATTGTTTTTCCAATTTTTTCAAATCAATCATAACGAAAATTGCTTAATCGGCACTATCATCGGCACTATCGTTATCACTAATCATTACTAATCAATATTTTTGATCAGTACTTTGATTATATTCACTGATTATATTCTTTCTTTAGCTCATTTAAAAATTTTGAAAAATGATCAATGGATTATTTATTGCAGCAATAATCGAATTCTTACAAATTCTTTAATTTATCGAGTCAAATGGATATCTTTCAAGTTTTTAATTTATTTCCATGCACAGACGAATAAATCATTTCAGAATTTCAGAAAATCTTTTCCTAAAAATCGACTGAACGGCGACTTAAAAAAAATCAAAGTTAACTGGTTTTGTTACAAGGTATTCTTTGAAGAAAAAAATTTTTCCAATTATTTATTCTTGTTTTGCATATATGGAAGCGACAAAATTAAACATTAAAATTTCTCTGAATTATTTTAGGGACACAAAAAAAATTCTGGACGAATTATCTATTATGGATGATGATGAGCGATATATCATGGAAACCCACAGAATAAATCATGAAAGTGATGTAAGAGAATCCGATAATTTTGTGAATCTAAATGCTGACAAACTTCTGAATGCAACAGGAAAGTATGGAAAATATCAGGTGATATTTTTAATAGATCTAATATTAGTAAACAATGAATTTCATAATCAACTTGTATTATTATGCAATTCGTGGTAATATTAATAAAATGCTATTTTCCAACTATCTCTTGCCAGTAATTTTATGCATGGCATTTTTTTCGCAAAGGTGATATTAAACAGATAGAAACATGGTTTGTCAAATTCATGATTTTCCAGATGCGAACCTACCTCTTATTGAGCACTGTATCTCTTCTGTACACTTCACAAACATTTATTATGGGGTTCATTGGAACTGAACCAGAATTCAGCTGTAAAATTCGCAATAATTTAGAAAAGGTATATATATATATTTATATATGATGTTATTTTGACCAAAGCATCGTAAGATCGAGCCCTCTCTTGGCAGGTTACTGAAAATAAATTTGGGGAAGGTGCTAACCTATTACTATCCACAAAAGGACTTTCTGATAAAAGGTTTTTCCGCGTAAAAGTTGGTGGATGCAACCAAGGAATAAGTTTTGTAACTCAGTAGAAGAAGGCTGTATTCCTGACTATTTGTATCGTTTTTTTTTCTTCAATTTCTTTGCGCGAAATTAAAAACGTGGAAATGCGCCTTTTTAGAATCAAATTACGAATTTATAAAAAAAGTTTGGCTCAAATAAATTTTTCAATACAATTTTCTTACTGTCGAAAAAAGCTGAAAATTGCTGAAAATTACTTTTCCAGTTTTTTGATCTAAAAAACAGAAGAAAGCTTTCGTTTGCAGCATGAAATCAGCATCTTCATCTTCTTCAATTAGATCTTATCATTACTGATTAGGTTTGCTCCGCTGGCTATGAAGGTGAAGCTTTCTTAATACGAAATTGGCGAGTGATTTTAATAATTTAGAGATACAATACAGTGGATCATTGTCATGTGACTAATAACGATCAAAAATTCGCTTGTGAAGATATTTCAGATGCTTATTTTTTATACAATGAAACGGTTCAATATTCCACCTTAACTTCAGAGGTAAAATTTTAGTCCTTTGAGAACTTGTCTTAAGTCGGAAATTTTAACTGTTTCAATAATTTATATTATTTTTATTAGAAACTTCAATAATTTACATTATTTTTATTAGAAACTTCATTTCTGCATATAATTATTGCGGGCAAAAAATCCTTAAGTGCGTGCTATTTCTTGTAAATCTTGCCATATTAAATCACTGCAAATTTTTTTCAGAAACCATTTTGATTACTTCTTTTTTTTTCAGTTCAATTTGGTGTGCAAAAAAAAATTTCTGGCTGAGTTGGCTTTTTCTATTTTTATCATTGGTATATTTATTTTCTTTAATTACGATTTAATTAATAAAATTTTATAAATCCACCTATTTTGGAATTCAGGACATTTTGCAATAATATGAGGCAGAGAGATGGAAATGAAATTCGGACAGTGCGAATACTTAGTCTATTCCTTAATGACTTTCTGTCTCTGTGGGTCCGAACTCAGTAGCTTGATTAGTTAGAAGAGGAAGCCAACGAAATGGTGAGCAATGCAAAAAGAAGGGAAAGGAGAATCCTCTTTCTCTATGTGTTATCATTTTGGTGATTCTTAATAGATGAAATGGTTTGAAGGTGGCATGATTGTAACACCTATTGCTACACAGATTTCCGATTTGTATGGACGGCGCCCCATATTCCTAACATTATTATGGACAGCAGTTGTTGCAAGCATATTAAGTACTCTTGCGCCAAATTATTTTCTGTTCCTCGTTTTTCGCTTTGTTCAAGGCATTGGCATTTTGGTTTGATTTTTTTATTTGAATCCAAAAAGCGCATCGAACAAAAATAAAATAATTGTGAATATTCCATTTTGTATTCAAAAAACATCTTTTTAAAAAGAAAAAAGTTGAAAAATTTTGAATAATCTTGCAGGGAAGTTCGAGTATAGGATGGGTTCTAGGCTGCGAATCAGTATCGGCAGATTTTCGTTCAATAATACCCATAATTGGGAATTGGACATGGGTTATCGGAACATGTTTTGTTGGTGCTGTTCGGATTTTCATTCACAGATGGCGCTTGTCGTATCTAGCCATTTCCTTACCCGGGCTAATAACAATCGCTTGCTACTGGTTATTTTACTAATTATATATCAACTAACAACTTTTCTTACAACTTTTTCTGGACATTTCGAGTCATATCATTATTATTACCAGCATTGATAAGACATTGTAAGATGATAAAACAACAAGACTTTGAAAAAAATATCGAGCTTTTGTTCACAATGCAGAAATTTAGTCATAAAAAAGTAAGAAAGTGACTCACAAAACTGCAAAAAGAATTTAAGTTTGACATTAAATTAACAATTTTGTCGATAATTTATTATAGGTACGTGCCAGAATCACCACACTGGTTGATCAATCACGGTCGAAAAAATGAAATCACAAGGCAAGTTTTTGAAGAAACGCTTTATCATAGTTTATCTGAATTAGGGATTATTGTGAAAAAATGGCATCCCAAGTCCTAAAAACGTAGCCAATATCGAATGACAATCCAATCGATTAGACCATCTATCCTTTTCAGTATTATCCAGTATTTTCATTTAATCGTGATTTTATCAGGTCGGACCAAGTTGCAGTCTTAATTTCTTGCAGGTATGTTCGTGAAGTTTCTCGAATGAATGGTGTTAAAATTTCGCTAAATGATTGCAAATCTGTTAATATAAAAAAGAAGCAAACGGCTAGATCATTAGTGGATATGATAAAGAATAAGGCTATCATGTTTCATTTGGCAATACAATGCTTCATATTGTTGGTATTTGATGTATTTGATTGATTTATATGAAAAACCAAAAATTTGAATATTCAAATTTTTGGTTTTTCCTTTTTTTCAATATAATTACAAAATAACATTTCATAGTGCCTTGAAAACGCAAGAAGTGAATTATGACGAACCATTTTCTTTTTGCGAACACTTTTCTCTTTTGGTTTGGATAGCTCAACTGGTTAGAAGGATAATCCTTCGCCAGAGAGCCACGATCCTTTAACAAGATTCTATCAAATGTGATACTTACGTGTCCTCAAGGAACAAAAATCGAACCTCGATGACTTAAATATTAGTTGAAACGACGTGTCACTTGGCAAGGTAGATAAAATCTACCTTGAAAATTTGATTAAAACTTATATTTATTGAAATTTATTCAATATTTAAATAGATGAAATATAAAAAAATATAAAAATGCAATAATTTCCTTACAAATGCTTTTGGCAAATATCGTGAATGTTGAAGCAAAAAGTTCAGACTGGTGATGAATATGATTTATTGGGGATTAGCGCTGACTAGCATTCGCCTGAGTGACGATAACTTTACCGGCTATTTCATTTCTGCATTTATGGACGTTCCGGCTGCATTTCTTTCTATTCCGCTATTAACGAAATTCGGTCGACGAACTCTAACTTTCTGTGGTTTATTGTTGCAAGGTATTTGCATGTATGGTGCGGCATATTTCAAAGGTTGGTGGCTAATCATTTCAATATATAAATGAACGACGATCTGTCCTATTCAAATTCTTTAATTGAAAATAAAATAAAAGATGGTGGTGGCTCTTGATAGTAACACAAGTCCGAATTCCATTTTATCAAAAATGAAAACTTCACTGGGGTTTTAAAAAAATCCTCCCCTCCCCCAAGCCCCCCCCCACTCCCCCTCCTCACTTTATAAAATACAAACCAAGAAAAATCTTGATACTATACCGTAAGCCGCTAAATGCGAGTAATAATAGATATATTCTCAGGGAATATATTCTTCATTGCATATCTCAAATATATCGTAGAATCAGCTGTAGAATCAGGAGAACATTCCCCGCTGTTTTAAATAATAGTACTACTGAATCATTTGTATTTAAGATAAAAGTTATTGAAATGCAAATGGTTCGAACCTAAAAATATTACAGAAACTCGGAACATAGCTGTAATTTTTCCTATTCTGGCAAGATTTTGTAATGATATTCTGTGGTGGTGCTACCCGTTATTAGTGACAGAAATGATTCCAACTTCTATTCGTAATTTATTCTACGGAATTTCAGTCTTTTTTGGCGAAACTGGCTCAGTTATTGCACCCTACTTGGAACTACTTGTGAGTTGTATGAATTTAAACGTTTAGATTACCGTAAATATCGATACTTCTAGCTATTAGATGTTAACAGAAATTTCAGTTTTCATTTTAAGGAAACTTTTGGTGTTCGCGCACCTCTAATTGCTCTTTCAACTTTATCAATTATCGCAGCTGTTTTGATTCTTACAACCCCTGAAACAAAGGGTAAACCAATGCCTGAAGATTTCGATGATTTCGATGGAGGATGGTTTGTAAACTATTTTATGCAGTGCAGCTAGAAATGCTTTCAATCAATTTGATTGCGAAATTTCGTTCTTCGAAAATTGTAAAGTGTAAAGCCATCGAATTTACTGAATTTTTATAATTTACGATTTGGCATTAAAGTAATGGTAACAAATTGTGTCAATATATATATATATATATATATATATTCCACATATAAATGCTCAACGACTGGCGATATCATCCATTATCCAGGGCCATGAATCCTTGATAATCGCTAGATGATCAGAAATTAATGAAAAAATAAAAATATTTAAGAAAATATAAGGCTTTCATTTATTAATTCATCAGTTTTTGTTATCGAAATTTCATTTCAAATTTCACAACCATGGTACTCTTTTTCATTTACTATACTCTCATCACACTCAAAAAAAACATGAGATTTGTTGAATTGATGAGTGATAATATTTCATCAAAATGAATTTCACCATAAAAAATTTTTGTTTGTATGAAAATCTTATTCGATGAATAAAAAAATTTCTTTTTAAAATAATATTAGTCAATGAAGATTTTACTTGAAATCAATTTAAAATCTTGAATTTTAGACTTTGATTTGTTTTTTTAACAGCTCGCGACATCACTAGCTGACTGGCTAGGATAAAAGATGGATAATGTTCTAGACTCTACCGCGTTGAGAAGCAAATCTACTCCGCGCAGGAATAAGGTCATTAAAAATCAGAGTGACTCTGGTGTAGATTTGCACTTCTATCACGAGGTGATTCTTTGGCTAAAATTTTTCATCCCACTAATAGCCAGAAATAAAATGATCCTAACCAGAAATAGTAGACTTTTTAATAAAATTTTACCGTACATTGAGAGCGCTGAAGATATTTCATTGTTATCTCAATTTCGCTAACCATCTCCTGAAAGCCGTAATTCTGTTTTACGAAGGCGAAATACCTTTTGTCCATTCCACTTTAGCAACCAACTCCTTCTTTTCACCCACCAGTACCATTATTATTCCACATCTCGTGAGGATTTGATGATATGAAAGCTCTGGTGATTTTTCGGGCAGATGGACCGTTTCCTTCGATATCCGGCTCGCTTCGAAACCGCATATCCTGGCGTGGATTCTATCAACTTATGGAGAGATGCGTTTATTTCGGACCAGTGTTCAGCACCTATCCCAAAGGTTCTTCGATAATTCGCTTTAAAATATAATATAATATAAAATATATTTTGTAAACATACTCATAGCTAGGTAAAAGAGCCCGAAAGGTGTGAAAAAGATGGATCCGCGATAAACAGTGTAGGATAGTCACTGCTCCCTCCAACATCCACAATTATTCTGACGTTCCATATAGCGAATTATCGAAGAACCTTTAGCAAAAGCCGAATTTTCGCCGTGTACATAATACGCATCGGAATACGCAAACGGCATTTGCAGCACATACCACGGAGTCCAGAGGATACAAATAGAGGTGAATCCTTCCAAAATTATACGAATTTCAATTTTTGAAAAGATAAATATAATTTTGTAAAAAAGATATCATACTATTAGAAAATGTTCAAGGACTGATAGTTTCTCAAATTTCGCTTAAATAAATTCAAAAATCAATTTGAAAGCGTTTGCTGAGTACATCTGTGGTTCAGTGACAAGGTAACTGCCACCAAAGATCAAGGTTTGTGTTCGGATTGGGTTCAGTTCAGACGGCACTGTCGCTGACAGAGAAAAGCAAAAGAAAAGTAGAATAGCTTAGTGGATTACGCGGCTACATCATTGCTGCATGGAACTGCAGGAGTAAGCCTGCTCAAGGTCCTAGGTGACGCTGGCGACTCGCCTGTGCTTCCATTGCCAAAGGACTCGCTAAAAACCTACGAGCGGCTCCAATGGAGCGAGAATAATGAGAATGGAGAATCACGTTTTAAAAAAATCTGTTGGTTAAGCGAATCAATTTTCTGTAAACCAATGAATTGAAATGTCCCATGACCACACTTAAAACGCGATGGCTGATGGAGAATGGAGACCTCATTTTGCACAGCAGGTGATACTTCAAGTAGCTACCAATTGACCGCGTTTTAGAAAACAGAAAAATTGAACATCTAAGAGATGCATAACTGTAAACCTATTCCATTACTTAAATCTGGCAACGTAATGGTACTGGACAAATACGCACACTGTTGTAACCAAATCAGTGGAACTACTAAATAGGTGCACCACCCGAGTTGACTGGCCAAAACGAAACACACCGTCTATCGCAGGACGAAAAAGTGTTTCGCAGCTGCGGCATTTCAGTTCTAAATTTCTTTGGTTTTCCGTAATTATGTTGTCTGTCATAGTGAGCAGTTTCCGGATTAGAGGGGGACAGGCTGCGGTCTTTTTGTACGGTCATTCTGCCATTTTATATTCTTCTAGTCGATTATCCCACCTTTATGTTCTCATCTCGTTTCTTTTTTAGTGTTCACTGGCTATCCACTTTTATTATTCGTTGTGGTTTCCCGATTTTTTCGGTCTTTTCCATCATTTCCAGTCGACAGAACTTCGCCAAATATTGATTAACTTTGTGCTTCGCTTTTATTTCATTTTTTAGAATGTTTTTTCACTTTATTTTTTATATTTATTTAAATTTTTTAGTTCAGTAAGAATTTTATAAAAAGTTTTCGTAGCAATAAATATTGCTAATAAAATGTTATTGAATTATAAAATCCTCCACTGTTGAGATTATTATAAATATGCGAACGAGCTCGGACGTAATAAAAGGGTCGCGTAGCAGAGAGCTGCTCTTAGACACTTAAGGAGAGCGAACAGTTGTTAGTTAGTTGTCCGTGTGTATGGCGAGCCTCTGGCCTGCGCGCCAGGACAGTTATGGATATAGAGAGCCAGCTGGTCATCCACACTCTACCCAGTATTGCTAACCTGTCGGAAGTCCGTCTTCCTAATTCTGGACCTGGAGAAGTAACTGTGGCCGGCCCGGATAGGAGTTATTGGTTGTATCACACTGATATTGCGGACACTCGGAAAGAAATGGAGTAGCGATTGTCGCATCCGAAAAGCTCCATGTGATAAGCTCCAATCCTATGGGTCGTACGCTTTAAAGGCAAATTTCGCAATATCTTGATTAATCACTATTTATACTGTGGACGAGGATAAAGATATATTCTATGCTAACTTGCCAACTTGTCAAAAGCACATTTGGCAAAAAACGCCACAACCGTAATCGCGAGAGATTGGCGCGTAGGATATGAAGTTTTCCCACTGCCTTCCATAGTATGGCGGTGAGACCCAGTCTGCTAACGGAAAATGTCTTCTCTGTTTTGCTGATGAGCGTGAGCTTTTTTGGGGCATTGCTCATGAAATTCACCAGATAATACTCGAATCAGATTGGCTATATTTTGGTCAGGCACCAATGAAAGAGATCACTGGTGGAAGCGATACATGGCAGAGCTGAAGCTGGCAACTTGTACGGGTTGGACCTCACTATGATAAGCACAAATGAAACTGAGAATGCTGAAAACACAATATAAAAACAATATACAATATAAAAGAATTTGATAAGATAAAAGATAAAGTAAGATAAGATTTTAAAAGATAAGATTTTGATAAAAGATTTTTAGAGGAGTAGTTTAGCAAGTTTAGCAAGTAACTGTTGTTGCACTGAAGCACGTAAAAAACTTTGGTCACATTAAACCTTTGCAATTGCCGAGGAGTAATGCCGAGGTCTTAATTGAACTTTTGCCTCCAGATGTCAGCCAGGTCCTCCCTATAACATAGGTCTCGAAAAAACAAGCCTTTTGTCTCTGATGAAGTCCATCTGTCCGGTCCTGCCACCAGACTGCACGTATCAGGATATGTTAACTACTGACAGCCCCATAGACTCGCACCAGTCGTGGCGAAACACGACAAAAAATTGATATTGGGACGAATCTGAATGAGAATCACCAACTGAATGAGAATAGGAAAACAATCATCAAAATTTATTTAGTCTACTTTGCGGAATCCGGGAAATCAGCGAAATCAGTGAAATGATCCGAGATAGTCCCACTAAGACTAGCAAAAAACTTGTTTCTTCTGATGGATGGTTAAATTTGCGGCGGACCATGATGGTACATTTAACATCGCAAGCGTACTTAGAACGCACTTAGAAGTCCAAACCTTAAAATATAATAAAACTTAAAACAATCTACGCAATTCGCAGCCTTAAGACCAATGAAATCTCTGGAAAAGATGGTCTGGAACTGAAGTCTTCACTTGCTATCCTGCAACAACTTATTTTCACTGGTATGGGAGGAACGAATGCTATGGAATAAGACTGTTTCCAAGAAAAATAATGTTGTCTCTTCTGTTGAATAGAATGGTGGCAGTGCATGGCAGCAGGACGTGTCCTAAATAAGCCAAATTGTAACGCGGCTGTGCCAAATTTTTAGGTTGAGAAGGGTTTTGGAAAAATTATTTCAAGCATCTGCCGTTACGTACTTCATTGATTTTGCCGTTTCTTTTGATTTGATTTGATCGAGATGAACGCTGAATCGTACAATACTATGTTTCAGAGGAGATAGATGGTGTTCCACTCCTTGTTTTTAAAGCATTTTATCGGCGTACGTCAGCGCAGAGGTGCGTATTTGTACGGAAAATTGGCGGAGTTTCTTGAAATGCGTTGCTGATAGTTATGAAGAGGTGCAATAGAAGCTCAAATTGGCAGCAGCATCGATAAATCGATATTAGAATCAAGTCGAAACTTATTTCTTCTTATATACGAGGCGCTAATCGGAATCGGAATTTATGGAATTTGTATAAATTCAGCAGCGGTCGAAAGAATTGGACTTTGTACTTTGCATATCGCAATTCCAGTCTATTGCCTAAGCCCAAGATGACGATGGAATTCTAGCTCGGATGGCAGCCAAAGGTGTTTTCCCTCTAGCGAAATATTTCTAGAATCGTAGCGATGTCAGTTCTTAGCGAAAAGTGCATAGGTGTGCACCTATGTGCTGCAGTACGCATAATTCACCTATGTTGCTGCCAAACTGGGCAAATGAGAGTGGAAGATGGAAGCCATCT